CCGTTTGGGGCTCCACCCCCCTGCCGCGCCCCCAGTGTCCCCAGTGTCCCTCACCTCTCTGGACACGGCCCGTGTGGGCTCCACCACCCTGCCGTGTCCCCAGTGTCCCCTCAGTGTCCCCAGTGTCCCCTCAGTGTCCCCAATGTCCCTCACCTCTCTGGACACGGCCCGTTTGGGCTCCACCACCCTGCCATCCACCTTGTGTGGCCGCGCGTTCATGGCAGCGTCGACCTCCTCGACCGAGGAGTAGGTGACGAACCCAAAGCCCCGCGAGCGCTTCGTGTTGGGGTCCCGCATCACCTGGGGACAGGGACACCTCAGGGACAGGGCAGGGACACAGGGGACACGGGGACCGACACAGGGACATGGGGACATGGGCAGGGATGTGACGAACCCAAAGCCCCGCGAGCGCTTCGTGTTGGGGTCCCGCATCACCTGGGGACAGGGACACCTCAGGGACAGGACAGGGACGGGGCAGGGACACATCAGAGACAGGACAAGGACACAGCAGGGACATGGGGGACAGAGCAGGGACACAGGGGACACAGGGACATGAGGACATGGGCAGGGATGTGACAAAGCCAAAGCCCCACGAGCGCTTTGTGCTGGGGTTCTGCATCGCCTGGGGACACGGCAGGGACACAGGTGAGGGGTCCCACACAGGTCACACAGGGTGACAGGAACACATGTAGGTGACACAGGATGACACAGGTGACAGGTCACGCACAGGTCACACAGGATGACACAAGTGACAGGTCACACACAGGTCATACACAAAGCAAGGGACGCACACAGGTGACACAGGTGACAGCTCACACACACAGGTGACACAGGGTGACACAGGTGAGGGGTCATACACAGGTCACACAGGGTGACAGCTCACACACACAGGTGACACGGGGTGACACAGGTGACAGCTCACACACACACACCTGCGGGGTGCAGTTCGGAGGTGTTGGGGGTAGCCTGGGTTTAGGGGTCCTGGGCCGGGTTTAGGGGATCCCAAGGAGAAATTTGGTGATCCCAGGGAAGCTTTTGGGATCCCAGGGCTGTTTTTGGGGTGCCGGGGCTGGTTACAGGGATCCCAGGCCTGTTTTGGGGGTTCCCAGCCCCATTTCGAGTTCCCCGGCCTGTTTTCAGGGTCCCCAGCCCATTTTCAGGATCCCCAGCCCCATTTCGGGGTCCCCAGCCCCATTTTCGGGGTTCCCATGCCTGTTTTCGGGATCCCCAGACCTGTTTCCAGGGTTCCCCAGCCCCATTTCGGGTTCCCCAGCCCCGTTTGGGATCCCCAGCCCCATTTCGGGATCCCCAGCCCCATTTCAGGGGTTCCCAGCCCCGTTTCCAGGGTTCCCATGCCCATTTTTGGGTTCCCCAGCCCCATTTTTGGGTTCCCCAGCCCCATTTCAGGGGTTCCCAGCCCCATTTCAGGGGTTCCCAGCCCCATTTCAGGGGTTCCCAGCCCCATTTCAGGATCCCCAGCCCCATTTCGGGGTGCCCAGTGCCCCACTCACCACGCAGTCGGTGAGCGTGCCCCACTGCTCGAAGTGGCTGCGCAGGCTCTCGTCCGTGGTCTCGAAGCTCAGGCCCCCGATGAAAAGCTTCCGGAGCTGCTCCGGCTCCTTCGGGGACTGCGGGGCACCGGCGGCTCAGGGGGGCCCCAGAACCCCCCAGAAACCCCCAAAACCACCCCAAAACCCCAAAAAAACCCCCCAAAACCACCCAAAACCCCATCAAAACCCCATCAAAAACCCCCAAAACCACCCCAAAACCCCATCAAAACCCCCCAAAACCCCATCAAAACCCCCAAAACCACCCAAAACCCCATCAAAACCCCCAAAAACCACCCCAAAACCACCTCAAAACGCCATCAAAACCCCCAAAAACCACCCCAAAACCCCAAACACAGCGCGTGGGGGGCTGGGGAACCCCAGAACCCCCTCAAAGGGTCAGGGAGGGGGTCAGGAGAACCCCAGACCCCTGAGACAGGGTCAGAGGGACCCCAAACCCCCCTCACACAGCTCATGGGGGGCTGGGACCCCCAGAACACCCCCAGAACCCCCCAAACCCCCCTCACACAGCTCATGGGGGGCTGGGACCCCCAGAACACCCCCAGAACCCCCCAAACCCCCCTCACACAGCTCATGGGGGGTCAGGGGAACCCCAAAACCCCCTGAGATGGGGCCATGGGGATGGGGAACCCCCAAAATCCCCTCACCCAGCTCTTAGGGGGGCTGAGAAACCCCAAAGTCCCCCAGAATCCTTTCACCCAGCTCATGGGGGGGCTGACACCCCCACATCCCTATTAAGACCCAAAAAAACCCTCCAGGGACCCCCCTCACAGCTCCTGACGTCCCAAACTCCCCCCAAACCCCCCTCACCCAGCTCCAGGGGGGGCTGACACCCCAAAATCCCTCCTGAGACCCAAAAAAATGACACCCCAAAAACCCTCCAGGGACCCCCCTCACAGCTCCTGACGTCCCAAACTCCCCCCAAACCCCCCTCACCCAGCTCCAGGGGGGGCTGACACCCCAAAATCCCTCCTGAGACCCAAAAAAACCCTCCTGGGACCCCCCCGTCCCCAAGTTTTGGGGACACCTGACCCTTGAGCATCCCCCAGACCCCCAGCCCCTCCCCAGGCGCCCCCAACCCAAATTTTTTGACCTCCCAAACCCCCAGGTCTCTCCCCCAGCCCCTATTTTTGGGGCCCGGACGGGCCCGCGCCGGAGCCGCTCCCCGCGCAGGTAGCGCCGGCGGCGGGCGGCGGATGAATGGGCGGCAGCGTGGGGGCGGGCCCGCCGCTGTGACGGGCAGGCGCGGCGGCCAATGGATGCGGGCGGGAGGCGGGGCCACGCGCGGAGTGACGGGCTCGGTATTTAACAGCATTGAGCGGGAGGCGGGGCGGCGCGCGGATTGATAGGCTCGCTAACCAATAGCTGCGCAGCGAAGGCGGGGCGGTGGTTCGATTGACGGTTCCACTGTCCAATAGTAGCGTGGCGGGGCCGTGGCGAGCGGCGGGGCGCTCAGCCAATCATCTCGCGGGCGCGCGGCGGCCCTGACCAATGGCGTGTCGCGGCGCGCTCCTAACCCCGCCCCCAGGCCCGCGCGCCGGGCCCCACAGCGGCGCTTTGAACCCAAATCTGCGGCTTTTTCCCCCAAAACCGCGGCTTCTGCCCTCAAACCGCCGCGCTCCGCCTCGAGCCCGCGCCTCCCCGCCCCGGGCCGGCCGCTTTCCCCTCAGAACTGCGGGTTTCAGCCGCGGCACGGCGCTTTCGGCGCGTTCCCTTTGTTCCCTCAGGATTCCCGGGCGCGGGGTCGGGAGCGGCGCCCCGCGGGTTTTCCCTGCCCAAAAATCGCCTTTTCCCACCCAAACCGGGCCCTGCTCCCTCGGGAGCCCGCCCAGAGCCCCGCCGGGAATGCGGCAGGAAATTCCAGCCCGGAGCGAGGAATTCCCCGGTCCCTCCCGGCGCTCGGGGCTGCCTTGGGAAGGAAGGAACGCGCCGGGATCCTGCCTTGAGGGGCGAAAAAATATCCTGCTTTGGGGTCTTCTTAAAACGCCTTTTTTAAAATCGGCCTCGTTTCTAAGGGGTTTAGCCCGAATTCCATTTCCCTGCTCCCAAATCCCGCCTCGGTTTTAGGGGGTTTATTCTAAATTCCATTTTGCTCTGCCTAAATTCTGAGGGGTTTTTTTTTAGGGGCTTTTAGCCCAAATCGTGTTTCTTTGTGCATAAATCGCTGCCGGTTTTTAGGAATCGGCCCCTGCTGTGCTCCCCCTTGGGGATCCAAAAATAACCCCAAATCCCTCTTGGGGATCCCAAAATGACCCCAAATCCCTCCTTGGGGGTCCCAAAATGACCCCAAATCCCTTTTGGAGGTCCCAAAATGACCCCAAATCCCTCCTGGGGATCCCAAAATGACCCCAAATCCATCTTGGGGATCCCAAAATGACCCCAAATCCCTCCTTGGGGGTCCCAAAATGACCCCAAATCCCTTTTGGAGGTCCCAAAATGACCCCAAATCCCTCCTGGGGATCCCAAAATGACCCCAAATCCATCTTGGGGATCCCGAAATTACCTCAGATCCCTTTTGGGGATCTCCAGGTGTCCCCAAATCCCTCTTGGGCATCCCCAATGTCCCCTTTAAGGGGCTCCAGGAGCCTCAAATCTCCCTTTGGGGGTCCCGAGATGACCCCAAATCCCCCCCTGAGCTGTCCCCTGTCCCCTCTGGGTGACAACGCCGTGTCCCCAGAGCGGTGGCTGCGCTGTGGGCAGGAGGAGCAGTGCCATGTCCCATGGTGACATTGCTGTCCCTGTCCCTGTCCCCAGAGCGGTGGCTGCGCTATGGGCAGGAGGAGCCCTTGGGTGACATTCCCTGTGCCACGGTGACATTGCTGACCCTGTCCCTGTCCCTGTCCCTGTCCCCAGAGCGGTGGCTGCGCTGTGGGCAGGAGGAGCAGTGCCATGTCCCATGGTGACATTGCTGTCCCTGTCCCTGTCCCCAGAGCGGTGGCTGCGCTGTGGGCAGGAGGAGCCGTGCCGTGGGTGACACTCCCTGTCCCACGGTGACACTCCCTGTGCCACGGTGACATTGCTGACCCTGTCCCTGTCCCTGTCCCCAGAGCGGTGGCTGCGCTGTGGGCAGGAGGAGCAGTGCCACGTCCCATGGTGGCATTCCCACGGTGACATTGTCCCTGTCCCCAGAGCGGTGGCTGCGCTATGGGCAGGAGGAGCCCTTGGGTGACACTCCCTGTGCCACGGTGACATTCCCTGTGCCACGGTGACATTGCTGACCCTGTCCCTGTCCCTGTCCCCAGAGCGGTGGCTGCGCTATGGGCAGGAGGAGCCGGCGGGCAGCCGACAGCTCGTCCTCGGGGGAGGAGGAGGAGTATGTGGTGGAGAAGGTTCTGGATCGGCGCGTGGTGAGGGGCCAGGCCGAGTACCTGCTCAAGTGGAAGGGCTTCTCCGAGTGAGTGACCGCGGGGACACGGGGGGACACGGGGGGACAGCTCCCGGGAGCGGGGACAGCGCCCTGGGCCTGTCCCCGGGTGTCCCTGGGTGTCCCTGTCCCTGTCCCCGGGTGTCCCCTGTCCCCGGGTGTCCCCAGGTGTCCCTGTCCCTGGGTGTCCCTGTCCCCCAACACTGTCCCCTGACCGTGTCCCTGTCCCCTGACCCTGTCACCTGACTGTGTCCTGGGTGTCCCTGTCCCTGGGTGTCCCTCTCCCCTGACCATGTCCCCTGTCCCTGTCCCCCGACGCTGTCCCCTGTCCCCTGACCATGTCTCGGATGTCCCTGGGTGTCCCCTGACCGTGTCCCTGTCCCCCCACGCTGTCCCCAGGGAGCACAACAGGTGGGGATAGGGAGATGTCCCCTGGGTGTCCCTGGATGTCCCCTGACCATGTCTCGGATGTCCCTGGATGTCCCTGTCCCCTGACCGTGCCCCTGTCCCCTGACCGTGCCCCTGTCCCCTGTGCCCCTGTCCCCTGACCGTGTCTCTGTCCCCTGTGTCCCTGTCCCCTGTGTCCCTGTCCCCTGACCGTGCCCCTGTCCCCTGACCGTGCCCCTGTCCCCTGACGCTGTCCCCAGGGAGCACAACACGTGGGAGCCCGAGAAGAACCTGGACTGCCCCGAGCTGATCTCGCAGTTCCTGCGCAAGGACCGCAGGATGAGGGACATGAGGGACATGAGGGACAGCGAGGGGACGCGGCCCCGCGAGCGCCCCGAGGGCGCCAAGCGCAAGGGACTGCCCGGGGAGGACGGCAGGGCCAAGAAGAAGAGGGAGGTGAGAGGGGACACGGGGACACTGTCCCTGTGTCCCCCCAGGAAGGACACGGACGAGGCTGACCTGGTGCTGGCCAAGGAGGCCAACCTCAAGTGTCCCCAGATTGTCATCGCGTTCTACGAGGAGCGGCTGACGTGGCACGCGTACCCCGAGGACAGCGAGCCCAAGGAGCGCGACCCGGCGCGCAGCTGAGCCCCGGGGACACCGGGGTCACCGTGTCCCTGGCCCTGCCGGGTCACCGGGTCACCGTGTCCCCAGGGTCACCCTGTCCTGGGTCACCGTGTCCCTGTCCCTGTCCCTGCCGGGTCACCGGGGTCACCGTGTCCCCAGGGTCACCCTGTCCGGGGTCACCGTGTCACCGTGTCCCTGGCCCTGCCGCGTCCCAGGGTCACCGTGTCTCTGGGGTCACCCTGTCCCCCAGGTCACCGTGTCCCTGGGTCACTGGGTCACCGTGTCCCTGGGTTACCGTGTCCCTGCCATGTCCCTGGGGTCACCCTGTCCCCCAGGTCACCGTGTCCCTGGGTCACCGTGTCCCCCGGGTCACTGTGTCCCTGTCCCTGCTGTGTCCCTGGGTCATCATGTCCCCAGGTCACCGTGTCCGTGGGGTCACGGTGTCCCCGTCTCTGCCGTGTCCCCCGGTCACTGTCCCCAGGTCACCATGTCCCTGCCATGTCCCGGGGTCACTGTGTCCCTGCCGTGTCCCGGGTCACCGTGTCCCCCAGGGTCACTGTGTCCCTGCTGTGTCCCTGGGTCCCCTGTGTCACCCTCGGGTCTCCCCTGTCCCCCCCCGTGTCCCCTCTGTCCCCGCCGTGTCCCCGCGGCCACCGCGTGCGTCCCCGCAGGCGATGCGGCATGGAGCGGGAGGAGGAGGAGGAGGAGGAAGGAGCGAGGGCTGAGGCCGAGGGTGAGGATGAGGATGGAGCCGGGGCTGGAGCTGAGGAAGGAGCGGGGACTGCGGCTGAGGATGAGGATGGAGCCGGGGCCGAGGATGCTGCTGCTGAGGATGCTGATGAAGATGCTGAGGATGAGGATGAGGATGAGGACGATGCTGATGCTGAGGACGAAGGCGCGGCGCCGGCGGCGCGGTTCCTGGCGCTGCAGCGGGCTCTCTCGGGCGCGCTGCGGGCGCTGCCGCCGCCGGGCCCGCCGGTGGCCGCGGTGTACGCGCCGCTCGAGTACGCGTGGGAGCCGCACCGGCGCTTCGTGCGCCGCTTCCTGCGCGGGCCCGCCGCCGTGCTGTTCCTGGGCATGAACCCCGGGCCCTTCGGCATGGCCCAGACCGGGGTGCGTACCGGGGGGACCCCGAAACCTGCTGGGCATGAACCCCAAAACCGGGCATGAACCCCAAAACCTGGGAATGAGCCCCAAAACCCGGGAACGAACCCCAAAACCGGGCATGAACCCCGAAACCCGGGCATGAACCCCGAAGCTGTTCCTGGGCATGAACCCCGGCCCCTTCAGCATGGCCCAGACCGGGGTGGGCACCGGGGGCACCGGGACAGGGACTGGGGGGGCTCGGTGCGTCCCGGGAGGTCCCAAAGGGGAGGAAATGAGGGTGGGGGGGCGTCAGGGGGTCCCCAAATGGTCCCAGAGGGCAGCAGAGGAGGGAAACTGAGGCACGGGCGGTCCCCAGGGGGTCCCGGTCTATTCCATGGGAGGGAAACTGAGGCACGGGCGGTCCCCAGGGGGTCCCAGTCCATCCCATGGGAGGGAAACTGAGGCACGGGCGGTCCCCAGGGGGTCCCAGTCCATCCCGTGACAGGGAAACTGAGGCACGGGGGGTCCCAGTCCATCCCATGGCAGGGAAACTGAGGCACGGGCGGTCCCCAGGGGGTCCCGGTCTATTCCATGGGAGGGAAACTGAGGCACGGGGGGGTCCCCGGGGCGCGGGGGTCGCTCGGCGCGGGCCGGGGCTGTCCCCCCGCTGTCCCCCCGCCCCCGACGCCCCCTGCCCGTGCCCGCAGGTGCCGTTCGGCGAGGCGTGGCACGTGCGGGAGTGGCTGCGCGTGTCGGGCGCGGTGCGGCGGCCGCCCCGCGAGCACCCCAAGCGCCCGGTGCTGGGGCTGCGCTGCCCGCGGGCCGAGGTCAGCGGCGCCCGCTTCTGGGGGCTGATCCGCAGCCTGTGCCCGGACCCCCGCGCCTTCTTCCGCCACTGCTTCGTGCACAACCTGTGCCCGCTGCTGTTCCTGGCGGCCTCGGGCCGGAACGTGCCGCCGCCCGAGCTGCGGGCGGCCGAGCGGGAGCGGCTGCTGGCGCCGTGCGGGGCCGCGCTC